CAACATTTTTCTTTCTATCTCTATGTCCATCTATATTTTGTGCTTCCTTTTAGAGAAATAATTCTGTTTTTGAAAATGCAACATCTTCTACTCCCTTTGAAAAGCTAAAAAGATAATGCTGTCTCAAATGATAAATACATAAAAGCTAACAATTAACTTCAATTTGCCCTGCATTCGACAGACTGGTTGTCTAGACTATCCTAATTTATTTGATTACTATTCATCATTCATCTTCACTTTAGGTAAACAGATCTCACCCAAGTTAGGGAATGCAATTACCCCTTAATTCATTATTTGCCCCATTATTTCACTGAAGCTTAAAATAAGCCAGGATTGTTCCACACTGCTCTTAATTCATATTCTGTACTCTTGGGAACGGCTGTAGTTTAAAATAACAGTTTCTAGAATGTTTTATGGAACACTGGTCCTCAAGAAGCTCTGGGGAAAATTATCAATGTTCATGAAGTTGGGAAATCTTATGATGTTTCTCTTTCTTGGAAATACATGGTGTGCATGGGTATATTAAAGGCCCTGAAAAGTCCTGTAGTTGAAGAGTTCTGCTTAACTTCACATTTCCCTAACCCCTGAATTTTTAAGTACCTCAAAACACCCTTTGCAAAAGCTCATTTAAATACTTATGAAATCCTTCAAATATTTACTATAATAAACTCCTGCAGCAGGTGAGCAAGGCCTAGAGCACAGGATGGGAGTATTAAAGCAAAGTGTTTTTTTAGCTACAGATTGTGCTCTACTAGATCTTACCATTCTCTCTTCTTATTCCTAAAAGTGTTATTTTTCTTCAACTTTGACATTCATCACCACCTAGGAATGTGTACCATGTACCAAAAAAAAAACCCAACCTCACTGCCATTGAGTCAATTCCGACTCATAGTGAACCCTTTGGGTTTCCGGGGCAGTAAATCTTTATGGAAATAGATTACACAGTCTTCCTTCCACAGAGTGGCTGGTGAGTTTGAACCACCAACATTCTGATTAGCAGTCAAGTGCCTTAGGCACTACACCACCAGAGCTCCTTTGTATCATGTACACTACATATTAAACATTAAAAAGTTAACTCTCTATTAGTCTGTGAATTGGTCTCTGGCCAATTTAACTCCACCCTTGGCCTCTTGGACTGAACACTGGAAAATAAAAAGTTTGGTTAAACATCAAACCATGATGAAGTTTTAGAAGCAATGTTCCTAAAGCAGGAAAACAGAGATTAAAAATCCTAAATCTTTGCCTGTGCGTTAAAAAGAAAAAGTCTATAAGTAAACACATAATGAGTGCTCAGTCAATAAGTATTTATTGAATGAATGCATATAAGCATGCAAAAAAAAGAGGTCTTTAACTTAAGTCAGAGCTCACGACTAACTCATTTAATCTGGAAATGGTATCCTTAAAAATAATCTTCATTACATTTCTTAATTTATCCAAAATCAACAACACTTTTTAACAAGCATTTCTTCCTAAGTAGAATTCTTTCCTGGTCACACATTTTCTCCAGATAGAATTAACTGTTCCCTTCTCTTTGCTGCAAATGATTAGCACACTCAACTGCTAACCAAAAGGTTGGAGGCTCAAGTCCACCCAGAGCCACCTGGCAGAAAAGGCCTAGTGATCTGTTTCTGAAAAATCACCCATCAAAAACCCGAGGAGCACAGTCCTACTCTGACTTAAATGGGGTCACCATGAGTCAGAGTTGACTGAACAGCAAACTGGTTTTCTCTGTGCTGTCATTGGACCCTTGAGCCAACCTCAAGTACCAACAGCATGTCAGGCTCATTGTCATAACCCCCAATACACAATGGGACCTGTATCCAGGTCACTGGATAGACAAAACGGACTGACAAATAAGGGAACATCCTCAGACCAAAACTTCCCTCTTCTATTTGGGCCCAAATTTTGTCAAATGCCTTCAATGACCAGTGATGTTTATCAGTTATTTTTACATGCATATTAAATCAGGAATGCATACTTAGTATCATTGATTTCACTTCAATGTGTCAAATCTTTAAATACCAATCTTGGCAGACAATTAAAAGAAATCCCATTAGCTACCACAGCCTCCCATTTCCTTCACCAATATCTTCTCTCCCAATTTTTCAAAATATGTGCTTCATTTGGAAGCGAGAATGGCCAGACTTTGTCTGACCTAATTTAGTCATGTTGTCAGAAGGGAACATTCCCTGGAGAAGGATATCATGCATGGTAATGAGGAGGGTAAACAAAAAAGGGGAAGGCCCTCAACAAGATGGACTGACACAGTGGCTGCAATGAGCTCAGGGATAGAAAGGAGTGTAAGGCTGGCACAGGACTGGGCAGTGTTCCTTCTGTTGTACATAGAGTCGCTATGAGTAGGAAGGAGCCAACTCAATGACACCTAACAACAACAAGCATTTGAATGTAGGAACTGCAGGTGCCTTGTTTTTCAGCCTCAATGCTTTGACTATTTTTATCATTGTCTATTTATAAATTCTGGAGCTCTGCTAGTGTAGTGCCTAAGACACTTGTCTGCTAACCAGAAGACTGGCAGTTCAAACCCACCAGCCACTCCTCGGAAGGAAGGTTGGGCAATCTACTTCTGTAGTAATAGTGCCTTGGAAACCCAAGGAGGGGTCGCTGTGAGTCGGGTCCAACTTGACAGCACATAACAACAACAACAACATTTATAAATTCATTACTAGTATCTGTCTGGGAGCTCTGGTGGCATAGTGCCTAAGCCATTTGACTGCTAACCAGAAGGCTGGGGGCTCAAACCCATAAACCACTCCTGGGAAGTAAGACTGGGCAATCTACTTCTGTAGAGATACCGCCTTGGAAACCCAAGGAGGGGTTGCTATGAGCTGGAACTGACTCGACAGCAATGAGTTTGATTTTTTGGTTAGTATCTGTCTAACAATCTAAAAAATTCTTTTCATTTTTATTTTTCACCACTTCTATGAAATATTAGTATCAGCTCAAAACATTTACACTTCAGGGTTATAATATAATATGAAAAGGTTTCCATAATATTATCAGATGTTTGCGTGGCATACCAAAAAAAAAAATGTCTTCAAGTAAGAGTATGCATTTATTTAGTGAATAGGTCCATAGCTTTCCCCAGATTTTCAAAGGGTCATTTGACCCAAAAGGTTAACAACCACTGATCTGAACAATTATAACAATCTCTATACAGTATCCTAAACATACTAGGAATGGACTTTTCAAAAAGGAAATAAATTCTTCATATGAAAGTCATTTTATCTAATAGTGTGTCCCATATTATTAAATTTAAATGTTCACAAAACAGGAACATTTCACTTAATATAATATATCCTAATGTATAAATTGGAGTCCCTGACTGGTGCAAACAGTTAACATACTTGGCTGCTATCCAAATGGTTGATGTTTCAAGTCCACTCAGAGGTACCTCTGAAGAAAGGCCTGCCTGTAGATCTACTTCCTCAAAATCAGCCACTGAAAATCCTATGGATCACAGTTCTACTCTAGCCCACATGTGATCATCATGAGTCATAACTGACTCAATGGCAACCAGTTTTTTAAATATTTAAGTTAAAGTGACCCAACAGTCAGCAGATCCTAGGGCATCCAGCCTCAATGTAAAGCAGTTATAAGGCTCATTGAATTTTTATGAGTAAGCTCATAGAGCAAGTTCACTGAGGTGGGGAATGAAAGGAACACCGTCATAGTTAATATTTTAGGAGTTCAGGGTCAAGTTCTGATGCTAAGAGTTTTATGGTATTTGGTAATTCACTTAACCCCTCTGAACCTCTACTTTGGTCCCTTTAATCCCTTACAGGCTGTAATTCTGTGACCCTTGAATTTGGTGAATATGTAATCAACTCAACTCTCAAAGCTTATCATCTGGTTATGTTCTTACTGACACTCTTACCTAACCAATCAATTAAATATAGTTATAAAGTGAGGTCTTGTTTACTTTGGCATAGTGACAACCAGTAAAGGACTTTTAAAGGAAGACTCAGAGAAATCATGGGGAAGGTGTGAATGAGCACCCATGGAGAGACCCAGATCCTCATTTCAATTAGTGTAGAGTATCAAGATGAGAAATGATGCAAGTCATTTCCAGAATGGAGCATGGAAGAAAAAAGTATTGAAGAGGATCCTAAAAGAGAATGGTGAAGAAACAGACCTTTACAAAGCAGTCCAATTACTGGAAAAGCTATTAGAAAATATAGCGCATATAACTTAACCCAACCTCCTAACTTTACTGATGACAAAACTGCCATTTAAATACTTTACCAGCAAAAAGACCAGTTGATTCCAATTCATGATGACCCCATTTGTGTGAGAGTAGAATTGTGAGCTATAGGGGTTTCAATGGTTGATTTTTTGGAAGTATATTACCAAGGCTTTCTGGTTGTTGTTAGGTACTGTCAAGTCATCTCTGACTCATAGCGACCTTATGTACAACAGAATAAAACACTGCCCTCCGTCTTTTGCCAGCCTCACAATTCCTGCTATACCTGAGCCCATTGCTGCAGCCACTGTGTCAATCTATCTCATTGAGGGCCTTCCCTGTTTTCCTTGACCCTCCACTTCTCCAAACATGTTATCCTTCTCTAGAGAATGCTCCCTTCTGATAACATGACCAAAGGAGGTGAGACAAAGTCTGGTCATTCTCACTTCCAAGGAGCACTTCAGTTGCACTTCTTCCAGGACATATCTGTTAGTTCTTTTAGCAGTCCATGGTACTCGGTATTCTTCACCAATACCACAACTCAAAAGCATCAACTCTTCTTCGGTCTTCATTATTCATTGCCCAAGGCTTTCTAAAATTGCCCTAATTCACAATGCAGATTACAACATAACAGGGAATAAACTGTCCAAAAAACCAAAACAAACTCACTGCCGCCGAGTCAGATCCGACTCATAGTGACCCCTTGTGGTGGATATGTTTGTGTGTCAACTTGGCTGGGCAGCTGGTGGTAGTTAATCCCCATGATGAGACCGGCAATCAACTTCATGGTGTGATCTACCACAAGCAGCTGAGTAGCTGCTTTTGGGTATGTGGTCTGCTTCCCATATATAAGCAGCAGTTTGGGGAATGGTCTCTAGCCTATGGCATGCTTGGACCCTGCACATAGCTGTGTATGCTCTGCGGACCTTGGGACTTACAATGGACTTAAGTTAATGGCCTGCCGTGTGGTTTGGTAACATCAGGACTGTGCCTTTTTACTTGTCAACCGTGGGGCTTCTCAGCCTCAGCAGCCAGCAGCTGTCTGAGTGAAGAAACGCCTCTAGCTCCAGTGGGCTGGGAGCGGGAGGCGGAGCTGTACCCCAAGGTTGAGGGGCTTTCATTTCACCCAGTCCCTAGAGCCTGGTACTTTGAAATCTAGGAGGCTGTGATTGTTCCACCCCCAAAGGCCATGGTCCTACCCTTAAGGCTGAGGCAGCTCTGCTTCTGTTTCCTTGGTCTCTCTGCTTCTGCCG